CCTGGTTGTCGACGGAGTCGGCGTCGCTGTCGGCATGGACGATCTGCGCCAGGACGGCCTCCTCCGTCGCGCACTTGTCCTTGCTGTGACCCCATTCTGCGCAGTGTGAGCACTGCGGAAGGTAGGCGCTCTCCTTGGTGGTGCAGTCGTGCTGCGTGTGTCCGAAACGGCCACANAACATGGAGCACGTGGCTGCTGTATCAGCCACGTACACCGTGACATCCTCGCCGAGTTCCGTTACCCCCACTAGACCTAGGTCAACAGCACCACACTCGCCTGGCAGGCCCGGCGCCGCGCAGAAGGCCTGGTTGTCGACGGAGTCGGCGTCGCTGTCGGCATGGACGATCTGCGCCAGGACGGCCTCCTCCGTCGCGCACTTGTCCTTGCTGTGACCCCATCCTGCGCAGTGTGAGCACTGCGGGAGGTAGTCGCTCTCCTTGGTGGTGCAGTCCTGCTGCGTGTGTCCGAAACGGCCACACGTGAAGCACCGGCCCGGGAACTTCTTGTCCCCGGTACCGCCGCCATCTGCCCCACCAGAGCCACTCCCCTTGCTCTCCTCGACGCCGCCACCGCCTTTTCCGCTGCTGTCGCCGCCCCCGCGGCCGCCGCTGCGGCCACCGCCACGACCACGCCAGGACGACCGCCCTCGGCGGCCGCCCCCACGCCACGACGACCGCCCACGGCGGCCGCCTCCATCGGCGAGGTAGGCCTGCTCGGCGCCGCGCGCGCCCTTGCCTTTCCCCGCCTTCACCTTCTCCATGATCGATCGATATTCGATGGTGACCTCCTTCAGGACGTCACTCCTTGTCAACCTCTCCTTGTGTCTGAGTGCGTGCTTGGTCATAGCGTACTCGTTGGAGAAGGCATCCAAGAAGAGGTGCAAAACGAAGGTTTCGTTAACATCAAGCCCCCGTTTCGAAAGGGACTCTGCGGTGGCGAGCATACTGTTGAGAGCATGTTGCGGATTCTCTGCCATCGGGATCTTCTTGGATGTCAGGGATTTTAACTCATCCGCAGGCTGCATGGACGATTCTGGGTCGTACAACCCCTTCAGCTCACGGAGCGCCCCCAGGGGCGACTCAGCTCGCTTCATTATTGTCCTGTCTTTCTCGTCCTTGAGAGCTCCACGGAGAAATTCCACGCGTGGAAAGCGAGCTCTACATTGTCGTGCGGGTAAAACCTGGACAGTTGGACTTTGCTCTGCCCACTGTTTACGGGGATCTCCGCCCCCCCCTCCTCGAAAAGCTCAAGAAGGTTTGCTGTGTTCGCTGCCATCAAAAAATCCTCTAGCCACGAGGAAAAGCTCTTGGCGTCTCCGCTGAACGTGGGCGCTGTGTACTTCACGCTTTGGTATCCCACGCTCGCACTACCGAAGACAGCAGCACCACTTCCCATGGCGCTGCTGAAACAAGCTTGATTGTGAGCAGCGGCTACTCTCACCTCTTGGGGGTCTGAACCCCCTACTTCGCCGCTGTGTCGTCCCGAAGGACCAGACTCTCTTCGCAGGTCCGCTGCCTGCGCGCTCCCGTCGTACTGCACGGTCCCAAAATGACCTGCAGTGCTTGTGGCGACGCTCTCCACGGCGCCGCCGCTTTCAGCGGCGCCCTCCGTGGCACCGCCGGACTTCTCCTCTATACGTGCAGCAAGTCCTCCGACCAGCTGCACCAGCTGGCCCATTTGCTGTGTCAGCGAACTGATCTCAGACCGCATGCTGTCGATCTGCTCGCTGCTATTTGTGTCTCCTGCCTGCGAGCCGTCCGGAGTGGTCCCTCCGGGTCTGCGGCCCGCCATCCCTAATGGACTCCCTCGAGGGAATAAAGACTAGTGTGTTGGTATGTCCGTACTTGGGAGGAGAAGACACGCTTTAACTCTCTCTGATTAGGCACCCGCGGGAGCGAGGAAAGGAAGGGAAGAAGTGGCCCTCCCGAATTCGGGGAAGGGGGCCCACACATAGTAGCCTTTTTCAGGCATACGCATGCTCCTGTCTACGTACCCCCCGGTGCTGCTAGCAGATCTACCATGCTCGTATCCAGACACACGAACAGCGTTAGCCCTTTTGCTGTTCTCCGCTCTTTGCATCAGTGGCTTCTTAGGTTCGAGCGAGGGCATGTGTGGAGCTATGGCAGTGTATGTGTTGCAATTTCGGTTGAGTCACCTAGCTGTGAACACTTGGAAGTGCACGATTATCAAATTGGAAGATGCAGCATACCACGATATCCTGGCTTCGGCTGGGCTTGAAATAACCCTGTCGCT